TTATGCATCCGGTTGTGAGGAAAAGTTGTGGGAACAAATCCCAAGAGAAGGGCCAATGCCTTATCTTATCTTTAAACACTTACTCTACTTTGTGGTTGTTCTCACTGTGCTGGGCAAGATGTCTCCTCCACTCAAGACTAATGATCAGATTTTCTGTTGTTGTCGCTAGGACACTTACAGCCCCTGAAATGAACGTGGATTCTGAATAAAGACCTAGTAAACACACCAAATATTGCAAGTGATACCATACTGCTAGCAGTACCATCCTTTCCTCTCTTTTCATAGAGAATGACCTTCAGATGAATCTGAAAATGATTACAGGCCATTGGTTTAAAAACACGCAGCGCCTCACTGAATCCTTGAACCTTCTAATTCTAGTGAGAGTAGGATTTCCTTGGGGATGTACTCATGAAAATGCAAAACTGGCACCTGTCCGCTTTCCAGATGTGCTCGTGCTGTGATGAAGCACCCTGGCACCTGAGGGAGGCACACTGTCGCTCGGTGTCATTCAGTGCTGCAGACACAAGGCTGCCTGGGGAGACTGAGCTATCATCAGTGCTTCCCTGGCAGGCAGCTCGTCATCTACATGACTGATGAGTGCCTTATTATTGTGAGCAGGGCCATGCATGCTGTTCTTAGAGCCCCCAGTGACCCCAGAGAACACTTTCAGAGCACAGAGGGTGCTCCTGATCTTAACTTTCAGAAACACTCCAAGGTAAGCATGTCTTACAGAAGTGTTCCCAACCTGTTGCCAGCAACAAAAAAAGCTTTTTAAATACTGTGTATGTATCTCTCCTTTGCGTACCAAAATCAGCTCTAAAGCTGTGACTTCCAGTCCTTCCTAATGAGACTTGATGTGTCCTAGGGCCCAGATCTGTGCATAAGAGTGACTTTACACACATGAATGGTCCCCGGAGTTCAGTCATGTGCAAAAAACTATTTGTGTGCCCGGTGCTCATGGGCCCTGGTCTAACCTGCTTCACTTAGCTGTCAGCACAGCAGGCTGCGCTTCGCCTGGCAATCATTTTTTTTTGTCATCTTATGCAGAGGTTCGGTGCTCCCTGATGCTGCTCTGTCAGTTTTCCCATCGTCTGTGTGCCACAGTGCCCAAAAGAGGCATGTGGATTTGTTAATCAGATATCATATCGACGTTAGCTGTCACTGCGTGTGATACCTAGGTACACTCAATCTCACAAGCATTTGTGAGTGCTCTTTTTGGCATAGCTAGTGGGTAGTTACAGTGCCTAAAGGATGCTCTAAGGTAGACTGTTACAATAAGATGCAGAGACTAAAAATAGTTTTTATCCGAGCTCACCCATGTCCCTAGCATGAACAATCAGGCATTTGCTTAGTGTGGGAGGGATGTCCCTCAGCCAAGTGGGACCGAGAGAGACATCTGACAGAGGTGAAGGAGGTCACACGTCGTCCTGTGCCTGGGGATCCTCCCAGGCTTCATGTTGGCTGGGCTACAAAATCAGATTGTCCCAGGAAAAGCAGTTTTCAATATACTTTTCTTCCCTGGACAATGTATCAGTCAACCTTTCACATTTCCCTCCCAGGGACCTGTGCAGTTCTGCTGTGTTTGAGGTTTTCTGCTCTTAACAACAGCAGAATGTTAAACTGGCAGTAGGAACAAGATCTTGGAAACAGAAGCTGTGAGTGGGAACCAGGGCGGAGGGTCTGCCCAGGCTCAGGGCTCTTCATCTTCCTAGATGATGCACTATGCTTGCCTTGCTTTAGCCATCTTGCTTTCGCAACCAGGAATCAAGAGCAGGAATCTAATATCATAGCTATGCATCAGTCCCCATGAAGAACATACTTGACCCTTAAAGAGGGAATGCTGGGCAAAGACCTATGTACACCTTTGCAATATGGAATAGTCTCTTTCCTGATTTCACAGCATTATCGCTCTAGCATCGTATGCCAAACGACATTGGAAGTCTAAGGAAGGATGCTGCACACTGTCAGCTTCATGAAGAGAATGGCAGGGTCAGCCATGGCACTGGTGCTTTGTAGCTAGCTGTGAAAATTTTTGGTTTCTGAGAAGACAGTTAACGATTGAAGCCATAAAACATAAGTGAAATGCAGTAAAATGGTGAATATTCATGGAACATTCTGAGAAGGAAAAGCACTCTATCCAAACCCCAAATTTGCCTCCAAAATTGAAATCCAGCTCTGAAGGGAGCAGCGGAGGCTGAACATTTTGCGAAGCCTCGCCTTGCCAGTTCCAGCTCTGCTCACCCAGCGCAGCACAACCTCTGCCAGCACTACTTGCTTGGTTTTGCCCTGCAATGTTTTTCTTTCAGTCCGCTCAGCTTTGGCTCAGGCATGCCAGTAATGGGCACACACTGTGTTTATAAAAGCCCTCTGTCACCTGGCAGCAGCGACCCAGTGTGTGTGTGGCAGAGGAATTTTGTCCTCCTGTCCTCCGTGGGGTAGAAATGCACTGAAATTACACTTTGCTTATTCTTTTCTTCAGCTCCAGAAGCCAAAATAAACTTCAGGAAAGAAGTACCTCAGATGTATAAACAGAATAACTGAAAAATACTTTTCCTTCTTTTATCAAAAACAGTCTCAAGAGCTGTAAGAGCCCAAGGACTGCGTTAAGCTCCCATCACAGCAGCGCCCACTGCCCCAGACCCCTCCAGCACTTGCAGACCTGGCAGAAGCCAGGCCTGTTCAAAGGACAGCTTGAGATGCCAGCTTAGCCCCCATACGTCCTAGGAACAATTGACAGCACCAGAGGAACCAAAGAAAGGATTAGTCAGAACCCCAGAATTTTCTAAGTTGGAGCAGGCCTGGCCCCACAGTCATCAGAGTGTGAACAGCCCAGAGTGGATTGGGATTGCAGCTGTGTCCTGTAAAAGCTACACAGGACTGGAAGAACCCTCAGCTAGCTAATTCAATGACACTTGCCAAACATTTTCAAATCTGTGTTGGCCATTTGGAGACTACTTGCCAGAGTAGTCTCCTCCTGTGTAGTTTGCCTTATTTTTTAATTCCAGTTGCTTCTTTGCTAATCACGATGCTACACCTTGTACAGGTCATCCTGAAGGTGTTTAGGAACAACTGCACTTCTTAAAGCACCAGGGAACAGCAGGGCTGGGACCCTATAACCCTGTCCAGCATCCACTGCATCACGTGCATGTAACAGCAGTTTGTAGGTAGGACCATGCTACACACAGCTGCACTGGGGGGAGTTTTCCTGGCCAGACTCCACAAGTTTTTTTTATTCTTATTATTTCGTATGTTCTTACTCTTATATTCTTATTCATCAATTTATTCCTTACTCTGCAAAACACATTAGAGAGAGCTACAGTGTCAACAGTTATGTAAAACTGGGGTTGGAGAAGTCTCTGCGGAGGCCAGGGCTGATGTGAAGCCTCAGCTGAAGGTCTGTAGGGAGGCTCAGCTCTTGGAGGGAGCTGAGCAACATGTGGGCTGGGCAGGATGCCTTTGGGGAGGCTCTGGAACCATGTGATGAGCTGACCTCCACTGAGCCTCTGATGGGAGTCTGAGTGGCTCCTGGAAGAAGCCAGGCTCTCTGAAGCGGGAGTGATTCACTCTCCATGCTGAGAGAATATACCAAGCTAAGAGAATCTTACTTGAATCCAGCAAAGAAGAGATGAGAGGAGATGGGAGGTGGAAGGTGGAAGGGAAGAAAATCACTGTTTCGTCCAGTTGAAAAGTTAAACCCTTATGTTTCTTTTTTGCTAGATATGTTATCTTCACTATTCTGCTAAGTATAATGCCTCTCTTATAAGCCCAGCTATAGATTTCTGGCTTATCAAGTTCAAGGCAAAGGAGAAGATGTAGATTTGAAGAGCAGGAGGGAAAAGAAAACATAAAGCTTTAATGTCAGACCTTTGTAAATTGAGATACTTATCTAAGCCTGTTTTCTCCTCTCCTTGATTATGTTACTTTGAATTTGGACAAGGAAACCAGCCTGGCCTGCCTCACTTCTGCTTCTTCTCAGTTTCACTTTCGGAAAACGATATCGCCCTAGATGTACACTCAGATAGGGGTCTCATTTAGGGCAGTTTCAGCACTCTGCAGCCAGCTGTCAGGAGTGCTCAGAGCGTGGTGGCTGTGGATTCAGCCCCAGAGCAACATCACGGCTCCCCTGCACAGCTCCCCTATGTGGCTCAGCTGCTGACACTGCCATGGGTCCAGGCTCACAAGCTGCCCCCTTCAAACAGCTGTCTGCAAGGGGCTGGGCATATCTCATCACATTCAGTGCTTGTATCTGCCTTTGCAAGGCTGGCTGTCCTGAAGGCCTTCCTTGTGCCAAGAGATGATGACGATTATGATGAGAGCAGCCTTGACACTGCTGTCAATAAAGACCACTGTCACTCTTGAGCTGACGGACCTCATGACACTGACACTGGGGACGGTGGCGCAGACACTTCTGCAGATTTGCCTTACAGAGTATACAGCCCAACGGCCTCAAAGGAAGCAGCTTGCCACTTAGTTCAAAGGCACTATTTGTGAACGTTGCTTTGGAAAACAGTGGGCTTTTAATTTGCATTTAGTGCAGCAGATGCTTCACAGTTGAGAATCAAAGAGTTGCTTCCCAGAATTATTGTTTTATTAACTGAAAAGTAATATACGACCTCGTACATCAGATTGTTTCCCAGACCGATTCTTTCCAGTTCTGTATGTAAAATTCTTTTGAAATTAATCTGTTGTCCTGAAACTGTAGTAACCCAGTAGCACAGCCAGCTCTAAAGAAAAGCAGGAAGACTATGAGCAGAAATGCAGGTGTTCGGTGTTAAAAAGAAAGGGGTGAATAAGGGGAAGAAAAACAAACAGAGGGGATCTCAGTGGGCACCATGCAACTCTGTGCTCAACTGAATTGCATCAGTATAAATTAAAGCCCTGTGTGGGCCCCCAAATTAGGAACTATTTACAAAACAAAAAGCTTTCCTCGGCTGTATTGTGCATGTTCTAACCATGGTGAATAGCCTGCCTAACAATTATTTCTTCTTTATTTGGGTCAGGTCTTGCTGAGGACAAATTTTTTGAGAAACCAGTGCTGAGCATTGCAAAAGACCACATTGTCATCTTACCAGGAGAAGTTCTAACAATAAAATGCAGGTAAGGATTACTCCAGCAGTGCTGGATGCCCTCGGTTGTACTGATTACCTTGCACAGCACGGCTTCTGGGCAGGGGGGAGCAAAGATTGCTGGACAGCCACGATCTGCAACTGGCGATGCTTTCCCTCGGGTGCATTTCAGGAGAACTTGTTGGGCTGAAACAAAGCAGAGAGAAAAGTCTTTGGTCAGCATTCGGCCCACTTCATCCCTTTTATCATAAATGAACCAAAGCAAAGTCCTGAGTCAGCACACAGCAAAGCTTATGGAAGGGGAGTGCATGCTTAAGGACATGGCTGGAAACCTTTGCCTGAAGAGATGCAGCTTTGATTCCTCTGCAGCTAAAATCACTCTTTACCCCCTGTCCATCAGTAAATGGCTATATATATATATATATATATATAGTTATACATATGTATAAAGACAAAAATGTGTATATAAGCTTAAACTTCCTAACCTCAAATACTGCCTAGCCCAGAAGATGACAATTAAATAAACACCAATCTGTATGTGTATATTCAAAGACCTGACCTGTTTGAATACATGTTCTTTAAGTCAAAGATAAGCAAGGATCTTAAAAACCAGACCACAGATCATGAATTCTGGCAGCAATTCAATTCTTGACATAATATATAAAAAGTAGCCATGCAAGAAACGAGCAAGACATCAGCAGTGACTTATGTGGAAATGGGGAATGCAGCTTTGTCACAGCTGGGAGAGACACAACTGAGCAGTCAGTGTGAAGAGTCTGAGCTCCTTCTGCTCTGTCAGGACACAAATTAACTTGCTTGGCCACACAGAGGGTCTCTGACCGGGGTGTACGTAGGTGTTCCACTTGTTCTGAATGTGATTTAAATGCCAAGCTGCTGTGAGAAGTTGCCTTTCAGTTCCTTCAGCACACATTGTAATAGAGAAGACTGAAGGTAATCCAAACAATCACAATTTCTTCTACACATGCTTCACTTTTTTACATCTTCTTGCAGAGTCTCCTTGAGTGTAGTAGTATACTATTGGTTTCTTGCAACCACTGAAGGCAGTGAGAAAGAACAGTGGGAAGGTGAATCTCAGCTGTAGATTATGCTGATAAATACAACCCTTCTGATTTTTTCCTGGTCTAACTAATCCAGTGTTTATAGTGAAGGGTAGATGGACTCAGTCTGTGTACATTTTTGATGTTTTCTGGAGTATAAGGCATTTTTTTTCCTCCAAATACCTCCAGTTAGCCATGTGGCTTATGAGGTCAAAACAACCTTACAGTGGTATTTTTAGCTTAGCAAGCAGCAAGCATCATGGCAATAAAGTTTAAAGTCCTTTAAAATCTCAGTGCAGTGCTTCATAAAACATGATGTGTGGACATGAGTTGTGTGCTGCTCCAGGCCAACTGAATCAATGCTGCTCAGCAGTTCTCCATCCGCTGCCATTTTGATCAGTAGGAACTGATTTCCTCATGTCACCAGATGAACGAAGAGATGAAGAAATCATCAGCACTTCAGTAGCGCTGGTTGTGATCTGAAATTGCTTTACGGATGTGAAGCAATAAACCCACCTAAGAAATGGGGAAATGCTGGCCCTGAAGGAGTTCTGCCTGCTTCCGGAGTTCAGGTCTCAGTGCAAGGAATTAGTACAGGCAGGTAGCTGCTGCAGACTCCATTAATTTGAGATTCTTGGCCAGGATTTCCTGATTTTTGGCAGCCTGACCAAAGCTGCAGCTATTGCTGTGACTCCTGTCTGCCAAATATGTGAAAATACCAAGGCAGTGGTCAAAGTCTTCATCTTCCACCTGTATAAAATGAGCAGGTGGAAAAAGTAGGTCCATGTGAGGAAGCACAGAGTTGTGAACCCCCTGATTTGCTCTGCAGAGCCGCTGCTATAGACACCAGGCTTGGTGATGCCTGTGTCCAAAGAAGAGCAACAAAACTTGGGTCTGGAAGGGTGAAGGGTCTGGAGCACAAGGCTCATGAGGAGCAGCTGAGGGAACTGGGATTGTTTAGTCTAGGGAAGAGGAGGCACAGGGGAGACCTTAATGCTCTCTATGAATATCTGAAAGGAGGTTGGGGTGGGGGTTGTCTCTTCTCCAGATGACTGTGATAGAATGAAAGTAAAGGCCTCAAGTTGTGCCAGGGAAGATTCAGATTGTGTACTAGGAAATATAGCCTTGTCAGAAGGAGTCTTTAGAGACTGGAATGAGCTGCTCAGGAAGGTGGTGGAATCACTGTCCGTGGAGGTGTTCAATAAGGGTAGATGTGGCACTGAGGGACGTGGTTAGCAGACAGATGAGTCAATGGTTGGGGCTAGATGATCTTAGTGGTCTGTTCTGACATTAATGGTTCTATGAACATGAAGTGCCATTGTTCCTGTTTGGGGCCAGGAGTCCCATTTCTTGACAGAAGTGGCTGTTACATCACTGGTGACGTTTGTAGATTGGGAAAGAGCACTGGATAGGGATGTCTCCATAAGAATGTATTTCCGCCCTCAGAAAGACAGGAAGTGACGGGTGAGGTGGGGTTGCCAAGCCCACTGTGGATCCAAGAAGCAGGGTGAGCTGCTCACCAGGAAGAATATCCACACTCTGCCCGGGGCTCTCACTCTTCTACGTGCTGGGAATAACTTCCAGACCTAGGCCCCGTTCCTCACTGTATTCAGGAAGGCGACAGAAGGACGGTCAGAATCAGAGCCAAGAGGATGTTTGTTTGTCACTGGACTTGCTGGAAAGAGCATTCCCGTAGTGCACTGACTGCGCCACTGCAAAGCCACTGGCACAGAAGGGGTTCAGAGTTCTTAGCTACTGGAAATTTCACACAGCACGCTTGTTGGATACTCTGAGGACAGGCATCTTTATGGAGCAGACATGTCTAGACCGGATTTCTTCCTGGCGACACTCAGCTGGGAAAATCCAGGGGTTCTTGCTCCTTCCTCTGCTCTGCAAATGCCATTGGACCAATGGGAGTTCACCACTGTAGTGAGCTCCTGTCCTCTGGAATAGCATGGCCTTTCTGTAGGCATGGAAGCAAAAAATGGCCTCCTCTGTTGTGAACCCAAACCCCTACCACCACTTTTGCCCCCCACCAGTTTCTGCACTGACCTGCAGAAAACAATCTGCTACAAGAAGATCATAGTCTTCTTTGCATGAGCATGTGGAGCCTGTGCTAGGCTTCCTCAGAGCCCCCAGAGTTCATCCCAAGCAGGACAGAGCTGCAGGAGCTGCTATGGTATGCCTGTTGCATTTACCACAACACAACCAGCAGAACCAGGGCCTATTGCTAACCTGGAACACCAGATCTCTCTGAGTCCTTTAAAAGGTGATAAAGTGTCCCTGCTTTTTGTCAGTAAACTACAAAAAATTGCATTTGACACTAGCTGTGATCATAACTAAGACACGAATGGGTGACACGGTGTGTCTACCTGCCCTGCTGGTTTTATGTGCCGAGTGCTGTGATGGGGTGAATAGAAAAAGATGCGTATTGAGCGGGTATTCTAAGATCTGTAATTGGATTAGTTGCAGACCCTTCACAAAACCGAGATCGAGTCACTGCTGATTAAACAAGAAAGGTGATGAGAAGTTACATAAATGTTCTCTCTCCATGCAGCCTTACAGTTAAAGGAAAGTATAAGTTAATTTGGCAGATAAATATGCAAATTCCTCAATTTGAAAGAAACATATAATTTTATCCGGTGCTTTCAAATGTTTGAAGTGGCTTAAACATAGCGGTAGAAAAACAAACTGGAGTTCAGGATGTCTGTTAAAATGAAAACTAAGCTTTCCTCCAGGATTTAGCCTGCCACAGTTGCTACAATTTCTGGAATTTCCCCTGCTCTGCTGCATGAGTGTGGTGTGAGCACCCTTAATTTCTTATGGCTGCTAATCCAAGCACCCCGCAGCCTGTATCATTCGTTTCCAAATGACAAGAGGGGGAACAGGAAGTACATTGGCAGCCGTGGGTCAGAAGGAAGCCCACGTTCTGCCTGAACCATGACCCGCTGTAACTGTGCTGTGCTGTTGGCAGGGGAGCACGGCCGGTGAGCTGGCTGCTGCGGGAGGCACAGCAGGCAGACCCCCGCATGCACATCGGCAGCTGCCGCAACAGCAGCGGGCAGAGCTGCAGCACACTGCTCCTCAGGAACGCCACGGCCAGCGACACCGGGTACCTCACCTGCGTTCACGACGACGCCCCATCCAGCGAGGAGCTCGTGGCCAGGATTTATGTGTTTGTTAAAGGTAAGAACTTCCTTTGGTTTTGGTTTTATGCCTTTTTGTAATGTAAAATCAGTGCTACAAGAAGCAGCCCGGTTCCGATGCTTGCGCAAATCCTACCTCGCCAACCCAGCACGCACAGCTGTGGCAGTCTGCACAGGCTGGGATACTCCTGGGTTTTCAGGCCAGATGAATTAATTCATGGGGACAAAAGTACAAGAGCCAGAAATTGGCTATCTCATTCAATTCTATCACTTGAAGACGAGGTTGTCCTGCCTATTTTTCTGTTCCAAGTAAGTGAACACTGATTTCTTTAAATGTCTTTTCCTTCCTTTACCTTTTAAGACCTTTTAAGGCTTTTGCTACCACAGTGCTTTTCCTGAGATTCACCCTCAGTACCCAAGTCCTCTTCCTCCCCAGGCATCAAACTCCCCAACAACAGTCTCTGCGGTTCCTGCCTCTCCTACACAGTTGTGTACTGCTTTGTCCTTCACATCTGTTGGGCATACTTAGCAAAGCCAAATGGCTGCATTATACACATTGGGTGGTTTTTTTTTTGGTGAAAAATGGCCTATTAGTCATTTCTGTTCTCTCAAGCTACCTCTTCTATTTGCGTCAGAATCACTGGGTTCACATCTAATAACAAATGGAAAGTAAATGTAACACTGAACAACCATTTCGATAATCGGACCTTTTGTTGAAAGAATATTCCCAGAAATTGTTGATGTATTTTTCCAGTTCATTTGATGATTGATTTACTAAACTGTGAAATCATTTTGGGTCTTCCAAGCTGAGATGGTGAGTAGTCAGACAAAGGAGCTGACGTTTTGTGTCATGGCAAGGGATCGCATGAGATCCACTGGTGCTGAATGGGGTTACTGTGCAATTCTCTACAAATACTCAAGAAAATGAGTGAATTCTATTTTTCCAGTAACTGCTAAATGTGATTCTTTGAATCCTCTTATACTAGAGATGCAATGGGTTTGGCTAACGTGGTCTGCCCACACGACTAAATTCAATTTCGGAAGTACTGGGTGAACACACCTGTGTGATGCGTGTGGATAAGATTTTCCAATCTCTTTATGTCTGTTGTAAATAGCCCTTTCTGCCCTCATCCTGCTTTCCCAGCAAGTCTTCCTCTTATCGGAAAGTGGCTTTTTGGTGTTACTTGTTAGTTCCTGTAGTCACTTTTTTTCTCCCTTTCTATTTCCTTTCTCTTTTTTTTCCCCTTGTTTCTCTAAGCCCTGATTTCTTTATCCACCCTAGTTCTTGTGCTGAGCTGTTTCCTTTTCTCATTACACACCACTCAGATGCCCTACATCCAAGATTGTTAATCCAACTCAATGCCTACACGTCAGGAAACAGTGCATTGAAAACTCAATTCTCTATCCTGATTCAGTGCCATGGCTGGCTACCCAGGACTCCATGACTCTATGGTGAGAACACGAGCAGGAAATCTTATGGATCTTTTGGGACTGCCTAAGTATATATCTTAAGAAAATATCCCAAGTTATGAAATGTTTGCTGGTGATGCACTCGGAACAGTGTCAGTCTAAAAAAAAATCACAGGATGTCCTCTTGCTAGCCTGAGAGTTCTGTGCCAATGTTCCCCTTAAAAACAGCATGGCAAGGCAGTTTGCTCTAAATCACCCTCAAAGATTCTCCCCTCTCAGAAGAGATTTAGTGTATTTTAGAAGTTGCTGAAGGAAGCGTACAGAAAGTGAGTCAGTCTGCACCATGCACAGGTGAGCCAGTGAGCAGACGCTCTGCACCGTGTCCCCCCAAGACAGCTGCTCACCCACAACGCAGCCCCACCGCAGCACTGCAGCCCATAAGCCTGCACCTGCCTCTGGGCTCTGACCTGCCAGCCTGCAGCAGCTGCTCGGCTCTGGGGAGGTGAAGTTGTACCTCAGCGTAGATGCAGGAGGGGCTTCTCTTCCCCTGTAATTCCTGTGTGTTTGCTGAATACCAGCAGGCTGTTCTGGGGATGAGAAAGCTGTTTGTCAGCAAGAGTGTATCGTGGGGCTGAGCGAGGCGTTCAGAACATATCCTTTCCTTCAGTTTTTAAACATGCCCTGTTAAGGAGCTTCAACATGCAGTTTCTGGGCATCCCTAAGAAACCCATCCGTTGTCTCCAAGTGAAGAAACTCGCAGCTTCTGCTGAGCACCAGAAGAAGCAGAAGCCCCAGAGCCGTCTTGGGATGTTTTGCGGAGGAGCATGGCTGGGCAGGCTGTTTGCAGCACCAAGCCAGGTGGGGTGAGAAAATGTGGAGCCAGGGCCTGAAGGCTGGAGATTCTTCTGAGGTTACAAGCCAGCATTGCCAAAAAAGGAAGGAATGGTATTTTTTTCCCTTCATTCCTGGCCTGCTGCTTGACACCAAAATGAGTACATGATTGTATTGGAAGCCCAGCTTACTGGCTATTATTTCCTGTGCTTGCTTCTGTTTTTACAGCCTCCCTGGTGGAGCTTCTAAGCTCTGCCAGAATCTGGCATGCAGCAGCACTCCCCCGTGCACTCAGGCCGTGACCCCCACACACCAGGCAGCCCATGGGGACCGAAGGCAGTGGTCAGTGCTGTGCCTCAGCTGCACTGCCAGTTTGCAGGGAGGGAGCACTCAGGACCTCAATCGTGAATCACTGTTCTCAAGGCCTTTTTTCACTTCCTGCTGCAGCTGCAAGTCCCGAGGATTGTAATTAAAAAGCAGACGATCCCCTTCTCCTGTCGCCCATCTCCTCATTGAAAATACAAAGTAGCTTGGGGATGGAGTAGAAATAATCAGGAAGTTTTTAACTGCTCGTCTAATTTCAGTGCAGCTCTGAGGGAAAGGCTCTGCAGTGATAGGGGAGCGAGGCAGCCAGCTCTCTGCTCTGCCTTCTGCAATTATCCTTCCCGAGCCAATGGTCTTCCTGGGGAGCGTACTCATTTACTTCAAGCTTTGGGACTCCTGAGCCCAAGGAAGGGGCAGACTCGTATCTCATGTTCCAACGCAGAGAGCCCTCTCTGCTGGGCTTCCTAGGGCATGTATAAAATGACTCAGAGATGGAGGAAAACAGAAACAAAAAGATTTTCTCCACACCTCAGCCTAGGCAGAAATCAGCCCTTGCAGCTCTCGTATTTGAAATACTGTCAGCAAACAGCTGATAGTCCCCAGGGTGTCAGCTGGAAGTGCCCTGCACCAGCCCAGTGCTACCTTGGCTTAGTCAGTGATTTCCTCGCAGCCCTCAGCTCCATATAGCAGCATGGGGTTTGCTGTACTTCTCTGTACTACTCAGCTTGAGGAGCGGGAAGGAAAATGGGTTCTGTTCTGTTTTGCTCTCCTTCAAATTGTGCGTCCTGATTACAGTGGTAATTGGAGACAGTCACATCTTGCAAAATATTGTCTAGAGAACTTCATCCAAGTTTCAGTGCTGTGCTTTGATTCCTGTCCACACACACCAGTGGTTCTGCTTTGCTAGAACAGTAGTGGACATCAAGACATGGAAACAGGAGTTCAGGAACAGACATTCCCTATTACTTTTCGTGCAAGGCAAAGATCCTACTCTACTTCTTTAAATAAATAGGGCCACGATAGGGCTGATGCTCAACAGACTACTCCAAAACCAGCGAGTCCCACCTCCTCTGACCACTGGCACCAAGCAGTATATACATGCCCAGTACATCTGTGCTGGCTGCCATGCAGGGTCTGATATCATGGGGCAGAAGCTGCTCATGCCTGGTGTGGTTCACCCTTTCAACATGTCCATTGGTGAACACTGTAACACTGGCTTCCTGCTTAGGCCCAGCCAGCTGCTGGTGGTTCACATGGCAGTGGATGTATCCAAGCAGCTTGTCTTATCATAGCGTGCATCTCACTGCTCATCAGCTCTGGCAGCACGGCATCACAGGGAAGGATATGATCTCCCCCTGCTGCTGCGAAGAACAGAGAAGGCAGGAGGGACAACTGCTGCATCAGGGCTGAGTGTCACATCAGCCACAGTCCCTTCTTTATCAAATGCCACAGCCCAGAGATACGAAGCTCCGTCTCCTTCATAATTCCTTGTTGAGAAGAATCTAAAGGGGATGGAAATGCATGAAAGCACCCTTCACATGACCATATTTTTGTTTCAGCATTCTTTGAAGCTGATTTCTGCCTCCTTAATTCTCTTGATGGTTCACAGAGATAATTTGACTGTGAGAAGCAGCCCTGACTTGGGCTTTGGCTTGCTCTCCAGAAGATATTACCAATGCTGGAGTCACGTTTCTTCCTCCTTTCACGCTGGAGGCATCAAGACAGCCACACGTGCTGCCAGACACTCAGCTAGCTGAGACAGGCACGTGGTGTCCATCTGCTCAGCATGCATCCCAGCAGATAAGCTGGCTGTCTCTCAGACTGGTGGAAGGGTCTGGCTCCATATTCAGGGCCACGTGGTGTGGGAATATAGGCTGCGTCAACATGCAGAGCTTTCTGTGCTGTTCCTCAAATATAAAGGTCTGGATAAAGGACTGGATACAGGGGAAAAAAGAGCTGCATTCAATTCTCAATCAAGACAATCAGTATCTTCAAATCATATCCTAAACTTCACTCCTCCACTTTCAAGTGGAAGAGCCTTGCAAGATATGATGCTAAGCAAGCAGCATTATGTTCTGGCATGCTGTCAGTGACAGCACTTGACTTCCAGCAGCAAGATGTAATTGCCTCCTCCTTTAAACTCATACAGAATTCCTAAACAAAAGCCTGACAGACAAAATCACAAACACATTTCCCCCACTTCTTCTTTCTCACTGGTTTTCCACCCAGTAATCACTGATTGCTGAGCCTTACCCCAGCTGAGCAGCTGGCAGCAGTTAATATAGGAGATCAGTTCTTAGCGATGGGACTTCAGTAGGGGAATGTGTCCTACAAACTCTGTGTCTGCTGAAAGTCTTGTATAATGGGTAATCAGAGTTTATGCATTCATCTGACACTTGAAACATAGTTTTTGCCAATGCATGGAGACTTTTTTTAAAATCCATTCTGTCTTGTTGTTTTTTTTTCTCTGCTCAG